CTTGTTAAAGTCTTTTTGTAATTAATTGAGCATAAATTAAAAATTTTAATAAATCACACTTAGTTGAGGATTTCATACAAGTTTTCACTTGTTTCAACATTGTGCTAAAAACATTGTGTGAACACTTTGTGATTGTTAATTTTTTTTTTTTTTTTATCAAGGCAATTTGAGAAAAGGAAAAACCAGATCCATAAAACTTGAAAACGCAACTCACAGTAAGTGATTCTTATTATTAAATGATTTTACACTTAAAGTTGATGTTGGTCTTTATCTTTTTTCGCCACATGTTTTCCATGTCAGCACCGCAAAGACTATCAACAAGGCATATAACGCCTGGTTTAGACGGGGGACTACAACAGTTTACGATGCATAAAGTTTGGGACTGTAAAGGTGACAATGTTAAAGTTGGGGACTAACCTCCACTAAGGTCCAAAGATAGGAGACCAATACCCGAGAATCAAATTTCATTATCTTACCTAATTGTTGACCAATTACCAAGAGTACGCCTTTTTTTTCAACTCTAAATTTGAGTTTTTTTCTTCTTTTTTTTTTTTTTTTGGCCAATTAATTCAGGGAATGCAGTCACTTATTCTATGAGCATTCAATCTAACATTTTATGGCCAAGCTGCCTGAGTACATGACCATATTTGGGTCAGTTAGCACCCGCTAACTAACCACAAACAAATAGTCTACGCTAATTGCTGCCATTATTAACATACTCCCCAGCCTCCCTATTGACTTGCACATTCAGCATATATAAAATTTATATACAGATCAAATTCTTTGCATTGCAAATCACAGAACAGATTTTTCTGCAAATTCCAACCGTACACCTTTCAATGGAACTTTCCACCAAATAAAGAATTCATGCCTGAGATTATGGGACAGAATATAAGATTTTTCTCATGAACTTCTGAGGCTAGTAAAAAAGTATAATATCTACTTCGGCCCAAAAGTCCCTTAGTTTATATAAGGTTCGATCAGTTGTTAATCTTAAACACGCATGGGAAGGTTACCCATAGATACTGTTGTTTCTGCTAACAAATTGATCAATGTCACAGAAATGGTGTGGACAATTGATTAATTTTAATTCTTAGTTTCCTCATCAATATCAGCATTTCCACCAAAGGTGATTTTTCCAGTAGATTCAGTTGTAATTATGCCATTATATAAATTATTCCATGTCATCTTCAAGGACCATTGTAAATAGCATACCTATATATCAGGCAGTTCCCTCAGGGTCATTAAAGCAACCTATTAGAATAAGCAGATATATTTTGGGAAGAATATTACCTGTAATTCACCCCTCCCAAGTGATGGCTTTAATAGATTACCAATGTCAAGACCAGAACCCTTATTTCCTCTTCCAACTGTCCCAGAACCAATAAGCGTGTGGACTTCATCAATGAAAAGAATCACATCACCTGCAAAGCAAGCATATAAAGTCTGAGCAACAACGAAATCCATCCTGTTCTTAAAAGTAACTCCACGATGCATGCACCTGATTTAATTGTTTCACTTATTAGTGCAGTAACCCGTGCCTCTAATTCCCCCCTCTCCTTTGCACCAGCCAGCAATAGTCCTATATCCAAGGACATTACTCGTTTATTCTGTAAACAGAGCAAAAGAGGTTATTCAAACTCTGAAAGTAAGTTTGATTTGAAGAATCATCGAAGTAAAGAAGTAAGTTTGGCATGAGGATGGAAGTAAAGAAGAACTAACATTATTGTTTGAAACATCAACTACCCATGTAGAAACTCACCAACAAAAAAATAGGAGCATCTGCCTGTGCGATACTAATTGCCAATCCTTCAGCAATGGCTGTTTTACCAACCCCACTTTCACCAAGAAGTATAGGGTTATTTTTGGTTTTGCGTCCAAGTATCTCAATAACTCTTTGAACTTCAGTCAGTCTACCAATAACAGGATCAATGCGTCCCTCACTAGCACGAGCAGTTAGATCCACACAAAATTGAGCCAGGGCACTTTTCCCTGATGAGCACAGTTGAGCCACAAAACGTTATTACCTAGTCCTTTAATTAAGATGAAATGACAAGCAAAAGAAATTTTACCTCTTGCTTTTTCAGGGGATTTCAAACCACCAGCCTTTCCGGGATGGGATTTTTCAGGTATCTTTTTTGCTGTTGCAGATGGTTCTCTTCCATCCTTTACAAGCTCCCCGTGAAGCCTGGTGACTGCTAATGCTATCAAGTCATCAACATTCGCTCCCAATCTGAAATCATGTTAATACAGACTTAATGAATGTAAATATGCAACATAGAAAAATGGTAATCAATCATTTAGTATGCTGGTCAGGTGCTCCGTGCTCTTCATCAGGCACATCCTCATTCTGGTTGTTAATATAGCAAAGAATAAATGGACTAAAGCGCTAGAATTTTATAAACAACATAACTTGAATGTTAATCTTTCAAGAAAAAGTGCAATCAAATGACACCATCAACAAGATCAAAGAGTATTTTCCATGTTCAGGATATATTCAAACAGTAATTGCTAAGTTCTACCCACCAAGAATTTTTCTGAGCTTCCAGGATTCAAATTTATCTCTAAGCACTTCAAAAACCACACAAATGAACAAAGAAGGCAATGCAAAATGAACCACCAGCGAAGTCAAATATTTTGTACAAAATACAAGTACCTCTTGAGGACCCGAGCTGCACTCCCATCATCTACAGTGAACAAGCCAATGGTAATATGCTCTGGTGCAATAAAATTATACCCCATAGTCCTTGAATACTCCACTGCAGCTTCAAAAACCCGTTTCGTGCTAATCGAAAAAGGCACGTCTGTAGAGGAAGAAATAGACCCTTCTCGTTTGACAGAACCCGAATCCGAATTGTCACCTGCACCATGATTCTCATGCCAAATGCTGCGGACCACCTCACGAGCCTTGTCAATTTTGATACCGGAACCGAGAAACCCATTAGGATCCCGATCTTCAAGGATCAGACCCAGCAACAGATGCTGGTTAAAGACCATGTCTTTCCCTAACGACCTGGCCTCTCTCTGAGAAAAGACGACAGCTTTTATAGCTCGCTCAGTGAAACGCTCGAAAACCGCATAAATGGGAATGATTTTCCTCTTCCCACGAGACCGAGAGCCTTTGAAGGAGGAGCGAAGAGGACTCAAACCAAAAGAATTACTAAAATTCGAAACAGAGAGCCCAAAACAGGAAGAATTAGAAGAAGAAAATGAGTTGCTGTTGGAATGAAAATGAAGAGGTAGACGTGGGGGTGATGGAGGGTAAGGGAGAAGACAACGAGAGTGAAGAGATGGAGATGAAGAACACAAAACCTCCATCTTCAAGGTTGAGCTTCAGTTCTGGGTTGTGTCTTGTGTGATGAAGGACTTCAATCATCCAGAAAATGGGAGTTGAAAAAGGATACTTTTGCTCGGCGGTGGGTCGTCGGGGTGGAAGAAGGAAGGAAGGAAGAGAGGAAGAAGAAAAGAAAGGAATGGAGTGGAAGAGGAGGTGGATTCACACGTCAAGCCACCAACCTTTTGGGAGTATTATAAAAATCCTTTTGAATTTGATAATTTGACAAGTCTACCCAAATACACGTGTGGCAACTACCAAGAAAGGATGTACTCTGCTATATCACATGCATTAAATTTGTAAATTTTAGAGTTATTGAAAAGTAAGTGTTTTTTTTATTTTTTTTTTATGATTTAGTATTTTTTTTTTGTTAATTACTCAGTGTTTTAAGGGTTTTTTTTTTTGTTGAAAGTAATTTAACTATTTTAGTGATAATTTTTTTATTAAAAGTAAAAAATTTTAAATTTAAGTCGCATGACATGTAAATAGAGTGAAAATAAAAGTAAGAAAAAATTATTTTTCCTTGTATAATCAATATAAATAAAAAAATAATCACTTTTTTTATAAAAAAATTTTTATATTAAATTTGATAAATATGGTGCTTGAGTTATCTTAACGTTTAAAAAAATAAGTATTTTTTAATTAAATTTATGGTTAAAGACTTGAGTCTAATATATAAAAAATTTAATTTTTTTCAAATAGATTAAGTAAATAAGGGGTTATAATATTAAAATTGCATAAGAAAAAATTAGTGTCAAGGTCGGCAAAATTAGGATGGACTGTACAAGTTCCCTACGAAAGGCAGCGGATGGATGATTTTACCGGTCTGAAGTTGCAGCTCCTGATGCAGCCAAAATTAGAAGTGTCCATCATGGACTGGGTGCGGAGATGCAGCCAAATTTAGAAGCCATCCAGCATGGACTGGGCGCAGAGAGAGAGAGAGAGAGAGAGAGATTCAAGGTTCAACTTTGATCTCAGACTCACACCGAAGACGGCACAATTTGACCTTCAGAAGTCAGCGCTTGCCATTTGAAGAACTTAG